CTCTGAACAAGGACGTGTTAAAGAGCAACACACTAACTTGTGCGTCGTTAAGAGACAGAACGTGTTGTTTTTAACACTCATGTTTTAATAGTGATCATTAAGACTGTAATGTCTGTAATAACTCTATCTGTACATCGGCTTCTCAGTCAAATCCTCACCGGAACAGTCTCAGCTCAGCGGTTTTATATATCAGTCTGTAAAGATTTCCTCCCTTAAACTCAGACGAAGCTGGATTTTAATTCCACCTTAAAAGCTGAAGTTGTTCCATTCCGGCGTCTGTGAGGTGGTACAGAGTTAATGCTGCACCGTTTAAGGTGTAGCGGGACATTCCGGTTAGAGGTTTTACTTCTGTGTGTAAATGAAGTTGTAACTCACCACCAGCAGCAGATCAAACACTTCAGAAGCTCGGCGCGCGGCTGATTATCCGACCGTATGTTTCATAGAATCGCATTTAAAACCAGTTTCATTGAAACAGAATCTAACTGAACCCGAAACTCTATAAACTAACTAACTAACTAACACTCTCTCTCTCTCACTCTTCCTCTGTGTCATCCAACTCTGCTCCAGCGTTTTTCGAAAAATCCTTGCGCATGCGCTCTACAGCGGAAGGAAATGAGCGGGGCGTAGCGGTGATAAGGTTTATTTCAGTACCGGTACCGAATAATACCGAGACTGCTGTTCGATACTGATACTTTTAAAAGTCTCCTCATGGACATAACTAGAATAAATTTATGATTTCTGCAAAATGGGTAAGCATAACAGCCTGTTTTAAATCGTTTAATAAAAGTTTTATTATATCGTCGCTGTCCAAACAAGCAAGTGTCTCCAAAATGGCAACTTTACAGCAGAGAGCAAAAACACACGCAGCTTTAAATGTAAGTTACTGTAAAGAGTTTTTAATTAGTTTTGGAGCATTTCTATTGGTCTGTTCATCTTTACATTTCCACACAGTGTGAAAAGCAGCTGGAAAGCTTACAAGATGTAGACAAATAAAAATAAAAAATATAATATTGAGATGCTTGGGGATTGGTTTTGGACAGCAATGATATTCTTATCTGTTTAGTGTGGAAGGTTTAAATAAGTGTTTCAATCTTATTTATTTATTTATTTATTTATTTATGATCTTTCATCATTGCAAGCTTTCAAAAAACATCACAATAAATAAAAAAATACTGAATTATTTTGCTGTTAGAGTAAAACATGGAGAGATAATCCTTCTCAGTCCATAAACAGTCACTCAATTGATACAGCATAATACAAAAACAACTAAGATAAGTAAAAACGATAAACTCAGCTTTTCTGCTTCCGTTCTCTTTCCAGAGTCTGAACACGATGTTCTGCAGCTCTTTGTGTTGAGTTTTGGTGAACTACTGCAGATCGGAGCCAAAACAGTTACATTTCCTTTACAAACAGAAACCAGTTCCTTATCATAACACTGAACTTCTTAAGTCGGCACACAGCAAACATCTCTCTGTGAACAGAAGACACCACATGGTCCACCTGACCGTCATCCTGAGCGGTGATCCTCACACCTCATAGGTCAAGAGATGCTTTGAATGCATTACGTGGAGAATCTCATAACTGACCACATTTCAGGCTCTGTTGGAGAGAACGAGGTTCTGAGAAGTCCATGTCCACGTGAGGCTCCCATCATCGACACGTTTACAGTAACTCTAACCCAGTAAGGTTCCTTGAGGAGCTTAACAGGTCAGAGCTTACTCAGGAACATTATTCTCCTTATGTTCTTTCTGCATAAAGCTACAAATCCATGAGATCAGATCTGCTTTGACTCTGAGGTCTAGAAGATAACCAGCTGTGATTAAAGTTCATGCTGATCCTAGAACCTTAGAAGGTGCAGATTGGAGTTCTACAGGCTAAAAAAATGTAAATCGTATCTGTTGCATCTTTTTTTTTTTTCCTACCAAAAACAAAAATACCCAAAAATGTTAAAACTGCCTCTCCTGGGCTGCCTGACCGATGCCCATAAACATTTATTGTTATTATTATTATTATTATTATTATTAAAAAGAAAAGAGGCTAATAACAAAAGGTGAGGGAAGTTTAGTCAGTGTCTATTATAAGTATTCATAGCTGTATAATACTACTGATAATAATAATAATAATAATAATAGTAACAACTGTATGCTGTGTAATGGTTCCTTGCTCTGTTTTCTGTCCCTGCAGTCAGTAAAGCTGCTGTTGATGTTTTTACTGACCTGTTTTACTGTTTTAGTGTGACGAGATGCACACATACACACTCTTACACCCACACCCACACACACACACACACACACACACATTCAGAGGGGCAGCTGATGAGCAGGTTTGTGTGTGTGTGTCTCATAGTCATTAAAGTTTGAATGAGTGTTTAAATCATAAATAACCCTCATCATCATCGCTCTGACACTTATGACTCACTGATGTTTGTTCTGTATCATTTTCTATCTGAGCTGTTGTTCCTGTAAATGAGTCAGAAAGATCTGATGAATCTCCTCCTGAATAACCCGCTTTAATAACTGACCGACAGACAGAGTCCTGACCGCACACAGCTAAACATAAACAATACAAATGACACTTCTGTGTTTACTGATCTAATCTAAATCTAAAACTCTCAATCTGAGTTTCAGATTCTATTGTGCATCACATTTATATCTGAACCAGAATTTATATCAGAATGTTAATATGAATCTGAATCAGAATCAGGTTTTACTGCTTCTATACCACACAGCACTGCATTCTGATTGGAGTATACAAATCTTAGTATTAATTAATAATATTAATATTCTGAGTTGAGTATAATAATAAAAGGCAAGTTTATTTATCCAGCTCATTTAGTGCACAAAGTCAATGAACATGAATAAAAACAAAATAAAATCAGTAGAAGGGAAATGAAAGAAATGAAATACGTGAAAATTAGACATTAGTACTAATTAGTCCTGAAGCTTCAAAGACAGAAGAAAGGTTCAGTTCTACAAGGTGCAGTAACATCATTTTAAAGTTTTGTGTGCTCAGTTAATTTTTTTGAAAACCTGCGTTTAGACAGTCCTTCTTGACCAGCACGTTTGCTTCTGATGATCTCCACAAATTAAAGGTCAGAACATTCCAACAAATTCATGGACTTATTCATTTTTGCTCATATAATCAACAATTTCTGACTAACTAGTGAGTTTATTTCTGATGCATGCTCAGTGTCTCAAGAAAGATCTGTGAGACAAATTAATGTTAAAAGCTAGTTAAAAGTCCAAAGGGCCTCTTAATTAGTTAGACCGAAAATGTGATGAAGAAATCACATTTACTGAATGAGATTAGCGTCTGATCGTTACAGTGGAACTACTGTCTCTGTTAGAGTCAGTAATGAACACCCAGCTGATACAGAAAGCAGAGGAACCACAACAGAACCCACAGCAGCGTAGAGGAGACTAGAGCACCTGCACTCAAACTGAGAGAACATGCACGCGATTATGTGTGTTAGAATAAGCGCATCTTATCTGTAAAGATGAGTCACAGCACATATCTGTCACTGCGCTATGCTTACACTCATCACAGTTCATTAAAACTGACAGCTGGGCTGCAACTTTAAACCATTAAACTCAGTCTGAGCTCTGCTGACTGTTGACTTTTGTGCTCAAGCCCAAACCTGTTTTAAACTGCAGTCTGTTGGTTTTGCACTCTGCTGAAGAAACAGGAAAGTGGTTAAACTGATCTAACCCACTTAGATGAGATCAGACAGTTTCCCACATCCTCATATTCAAGAAGCTTTACCACCTGAACTACAAAGTAACTGACAATATTTGCTAAAGCCATAAATTAGATCTAACAGCTTAAAATACTCTATACAGACAAAGGTATTGGGGCATCCATCCTAATTATTGAGTTCAAGTGTTTCAGCCACACCCATTGCTAACAGGTGGATAAATTTAAGCACATAGTGCAGTCTTGATAGACAGACACTGGCAGCAGAATGGGTCGTACTGATGAGCTCAGTGACTTTAAATATGGCACTGTCATAGGATGCCACCTCTGCCACAAGTCAGTTTGTGAAATGTCTGTCTTGCTAGATTGTGACAAGTGATATTATTGTGAAATGGAAGCATCTAAGCAACAACAGCTCAGCCACAAAGCAGTAGACCATGCAAACCCAGAGTGGGGCTGCAGAGTGCTGAAGCACACAGTGTCTATCCTCTATTGAATCACTCAATAAGGGGTTCCATATTTTCCTATAGAAGCAACATCAGCAAAAGAACTGGGCATTAGGAGCTTCACAAAATGGGTTTGATGACCGAACAGTTACACACAAGCCTTGTGCCAAAATGCACAATTCAGAACCGGGGTGGTGGTGGGGGGAGTGGTGTAAAGCACGCCACCACTTGACTCCACTGGAGCAGTGGAAACGTGTTCTGTGGAGTGACAAATCACACTTCTTTATCTGGCAGTCTGATGTACGAGTCTGGTGGAGGAGGGATAATGCTATGGGGTTGTTTTTCAGGGGTTGGCCTAGGCCCCTTAGTTCCAGTGAAGGGAAATCATAACAAAAGATTCCAGCATGACTGAGCCCCAGTGCACAAAGCAAGCTCCATAAAGGCATGGCTGGGTGAGTTTGATGTGGAAGAAAACTTGAGTGGCCCTCACAAAGTCCTGACCTTAACCCCATCAAACACCTTTGGGATAAACTAGAACAGAGATTGCAAGCCAGGCCCTCTCGCCCAACATCAGTGTATGGACTCGCACAGACACACTCCAAAATCTTGTAGAAAGCTTCACAGAAGAGTGGAAGCTGTTATAGCTGCAAAGGGGGACCAGCTCAAGAATTTAGAATGGGATTTATAAAAGCTCCTGTAGGTGTAATGTCTAGGTGTCCCAATACTTTTGTCCATATAGTGTACAAGATGTGTAGATGCTGAAGTGTGTTTAGATGTGTCCAGACGTCTAAACTCATACGCAAGTAAAAGTATTGTTACTTCAGTGACTGAAGTAGAAAAAAAATATGAGGTGAAGTAAGAAAAAAATCAAAGAACCAACCTTTATTTTGAATCGGAAGTGCAACAAGGGTTACAAACTGGTTTAAAACAAATGAAGACTTACAAGGCTAAATGAACAAGACAATTTATAAAAAAAAAATAAGTAAAAGCTCAAATAAGAAAAAGAGATAAAACAGCACTAAAATAATGTGGCGCTGTCACTATGCTTAAGGTTTGGGCCAAATGGGAGAGTGGAGAGGAGTATGTAGAGGACTCCCAGAATGCCATGCACCTCTCCACAGCCTGTATTTAGTTGAGTTTAATGTTGCTTGTGTTTAAACGTGTATCGTGAAGCAGATGACCTACAGAGCAGCACCCAAACAAGCGATGGTGGAGCGACTGGTGTGCTGGCAGTGCAGGAAGATGGGACACTGCACCAGGCAATGCTGTGAACCAAAGCCGACGGAGAGAATGACCCTCGGCATTGATGCCACAGCCGGCTCACTGCCCTCACTGACACTGACTAATTAGTATCACTACTACTTCCACATGTGCTCCCACACCCTAAGAGTGGCACACCTGACAACTTGGAAGCAACAACCATCCAATTCAGGTACATCACCGCCAGCCAAATCAGAGTGAGAGGGAGCAGCTAAGACAAGGGGACAAGATCTAGCTCATGCCTACAGGATGCATGCGTGCTCATGTTGGATTTCCTTCATGGTGGACAGAGCTGTGCTTAACCTCAGGAAGGAAATGCTGGACTTTTAGGACTTTTTTGGCCAATTAGGAGAGCAGACAGGAGCAAATAGATGACTCTCAGAATGCAGTGCGCCTCTCCAAAGGCTGTATTTAGTTCAGTTTATTGTGTTAATTGTTGCTGCTCATAAAGAAGAGTGAACGTGTTGGTTGTGTTTAATCGTGTACTTTTCAGATTAATTAACGTGTCTGAAGCGTTGACCTTTTTGTGATTTTCGGTTGGTGACCTTCCCTCATTTCCTGAGTGTGTGTAGATCCCTCTCTGTGGCTTAAACAAAGAACATTTTCCTAAAGAGAAAATGGCAGACTTGCTACAAGATGTAAGGGAAACAAATAAAAAGTAAATAAAAAAGCCAAATAAAATCAGACAATCAGAAAAACAAAGCAGATGAAATCCTACCTAAGAACTGAGTAACTGACAACTGCAGCAGAATATCTTTTACATTCAGGGTTTATGTTAGGGGTTTTCTTCTCTTTTTGGACCCTTTTGGTCTAAAATATAAACTTAAAGCTCCAAAGAGACAGAATCATAAAGCAGGAACAGCTGCTGAACCAACAACAAAACCTCACAAAAAGGAATTAGCAACTAAATAAGAAAGATTAAAATGTAACAAAAATCAGATCAATTTTAAAATAAAATTTCAAAAGAAGCACAAAGTCATAACAACACTACGTGATTATATTAATATTAAATAATTATTCATATAATTAGGGTGGCACAGTGGGTAGCGGAGGCTGCCTCACAGGAGGCAAGAAGGGCCTGGGTTTGATTCCTGGCCAGGCAGCCAGGGTGCTTTTTGTGTGGAGTTTGTATGTTCTCCCCATGTCGGTGTTTCCTGTCTCTGGTTTCCGCCCACAGTCTAAAGACATGCAGTCGGGGCAACTGGATATGCTAAATTGCCCCTAGGTGCGAGTGTGTGTGTGAATGTATATGTCTGTTTGTCTGCCCAATGATGGACTGGTGACCTGTCCAGGGTGTATCCTGCCTTCTGCCCAATGACTGCTGGGATAGGCTCCAGCAGCCCCAGAAAGATAAGCGGCTTAGAAGATGTGTGTATTCATATAATAATACATAGCTCATGAGTATAATTAACTGAGTAAATGTAACCAGTTATTATTTGCCAACTGCTTACTCAAACTTTCTGTTCCACCTTAAATGGTGCAGCAGTTACAGTGTGGCACCACAGGCATGAGAATGTAACAGCTGCACAATTTATGCTGGAATGGAAAAGTCAGGTAAGAAGTCAAATTCTACCTTGTCTTTAAAACACAGCTTTAGTCACTATTTTTGGCTTTACTTTTTGTAATTTTGTTACCGGTTGTTCTTTTGGTTTACATTTGGTCAACATATCGTGCAAGACATGATAATGAGACCAAACATTAAACAATATTATTTACCCCAATATTTACCCACGTCACCCTGTGGTAATACAGCGCCATCTGGTGGTAGAGACGCAACTTCATGATGTTAGTCTCCTATATTTAAGATGGTGTTTATGTTGTTGGATGTGCAGGATTTGTAGATTTATCTCCAGCATCATTCAGACTCTCTCAACAGTAATAAAATAATTTCCACCTTAATAATTCTATACAGATTAATATTTTCTTGATATATGACATTCAGAATATTTTATTAAACTGTTAAATGAACGGCAATTTAACAGTGTAAAGTTTTACTACGTAAACATCAATAAAACCAGCAATTCCATTCATAACAACAAAAAACAACAAAGAAAAATAAAACATGAAAGAAAAGAATAAAAATCTTTAAAATGACAGTCATAACTGAACAGGATGAAAGCCACTGATAATAAACCCTGAGAAACTGGAAAACAGAAAAATAAAAAGTTGCAAAAAGTACTGATGAAAGCAGTACAGAAAATCCCATAAATACAAATAAACAAGAGTGTTTCACTTTAACAATAATATCATACTGTGATTAATCCTGTGTGGCGGGTTCGTAGAGGTGTTAGGAGGTGGTGGTTGGTTTACAGAGGTGTTAGAAGGCAGTGGTGGGTTTGTAGAGGCGTTAGGAGGTGGTAGTGGGTTTGAAGAGGTGTTAGGAGGTGGTAGTGGGTTTGAAGAGGTGTTAGGAGGTGGTGGTGGGTTTGTAGACAAGGTGTTCTGTGTCCTCTGTGAAAGTGACCACTGGGCTGGCTGTGGGAACGGGCTGGCGCTGAGAGCTGCTCTTCCTCTTCTTCAGAAAACAGAAACCCAGCAGAGCTAAAAGAGCAAGAATGACTACTGCCAGGATTACCGCTGTCGCCACGGAGCCTAAGAGAAGAACATAAAACACAAAAATCAAGTCCAAAAATCCAGCTTGTCTGTGTCATTTTAACACAGTTTACATTTCCATTCTCCGATACAGCAGATTCCACATTAAAATAAAACTTTAAAAAAAAGGATGTGCATTTTTTTTCTAGCTGATTGTACTTTCATTTTCACAGCCTCCACCTGTCAGTCAGCTCATCAGGATGGAGCCATAAGACCCCATGTTAGAGAGGGTCTTTATCTGAAATGGTGAAGATGAGACTGAAAAGCCTGAGTTCACAGATCTGAGCTCACACTGTAAGATTATCTAGAACACAAATCAGATATATTTTTGCGCAGGCAGCTCTCATTCTGCTTGACTAAATGAGGGTTTTGTGTGGGCCACACTGCAGAAAACTGGTGGGGGCAGAGTTTGCACTGTGTTTTTTTTCTTATTTTCAGTATTAAAGAGATGAAAAAAATGTATGTTTTATGTTGCATCTGCTGTTTCTGACAATGAAAATGTAAAAGGACTAGTTTATGTTTTACATGTTACGTTTTGTGTTTTTTTTATGAGACTCAACTAACTGTTTATTTTCATTTTTAAATGTCTGTTTCTGAAATGAAATTAAACTGGAACGGTACTCAAGTGCCCCTCGCTGACCGCAGGGTTTGCAGACTGAACTATAAACTGCAACTGTGCGTAAAGATTCTACCTGAATGATGTTCATCCTGTTCAGAGCGTTCAAACAGACCCTTGAAAAAGACGTCATTCTCTAAAACAGAGAAAAGAGAAGAACTGCAGTTTACAAGCAGAAATATACATAAGTCAATATTTATATGTTATCAACACCATCATAAAACCTCATATCTCAAGTGTAAACTGCTTTGATTAGATACTGATGGTGTTTTGATCAGACGGTGATGGTGTTTTGATCAATGGTGGTGATGTTTTGATCAGACGATCATGGTGTTTTGATCAGACAGTGATGGTCCTTTGGTCAGGTGGTGGTGATGTTTTGATCAGATGCTGATGGTGCTTTGATCAGATGCTGATGGTGCTTTGATCAGGCAGTGGTGGTGTTTTGGTCAGATGGTGGTGAAGTTTTGATCAGACGTTGGTGATGTTTTGATCAGACAGTGATGGTGCTTTGATCAGGTGGTGATGGTTCTTTCATCAGGCAGTGATGGTGTTTTGATCAGGCAGCGATGGTGTTTTGATCAGATGGTGATGGTGTTCTGATCAGGCGGCGATGGTGTTTTGATCAGATGGTGATGGTGTTTTGATCAGATGGTGATGGTGTTCTGATCAGGCGGCGATGGTGTTTTGATCAGATGGTGATGGTGTTTTGATCAGGCAGTGATGGTGTTTTGATCAGGTGATTATGTTTTGATAAGACAGTGATTATATTTCGATAAAATGATATGATGTTTAAAGTTCAGACCTGTGATTTCTTCGCAGGCCTCCATGCAGATCGTCTTCATCTCAAAGTTGTTCTTGTTTCCACCGCAGCCTCCGTAAGTGAACTGATGGCAGTTTCTGTTCAGAGGGTCGTAATACCAGCGCGGCATGCTGGCTCTGCAGGGTCCTGTCGCCGGGGGGTCCACACAGCGCGCTGAACACAGGCAGAGAGACAGTCAGAGAGTCCAATTAGACTCTAATAAATGCTCTAATAAGAAACTGTTCAGTTTCCTAAGAGCAGCAGTGTGAGGACATCCTGCACAGTTTCAGGACAGAAACAAGGAAAAATCAGATCAACTGTTTTATTTTTATTCTACAGTTAGTTCACTGAGTAACTCACACTGCAGCGGCCAATGAGTGCGTCCTCACTGACAGGCACTGAACTTTACCTTTTTTATTCTTTTACCATGAATGAATAAATAAACAAAAAAAGGTAGATAGATAGATACATACATACATAGATAGATAGATAGATAGATAGATAAACATTATTCGTTATTAGATGTTGAATGACCTTGTGACCCAACTGGAACTGCAGAATTCAGTTAATGATGCTGTTAAACATTTTATATTATATAATTTAAATAGTAACAATAATAAAAAGTGAGTTAATCTTGAATATTACAAATATTAATGATTTAAAAAAGACTGAACAGTTTTACTATTTAAAATAATAACATATAAATATAAACATTCCCCATCTTCCTGTTTTAAAACTCACCTTTCTTGTCATTCACATGAATCTCCAGTAAATGAGAAAGAGTTTTGTTTACTGATAAAACAAAAACAAAAACACAAAAGCTCCTTTTAAATGTGCTTTGATTAAAATTTACTTCACATTTACATTAAAATGCTTAATAATGTGATGAGGGTGGCGGTCAGTCTCACAGCGCTGACAGTTCTCCTCATCCAAGTTGTTGCACTGGGCCTGTCCATCACACTCTAACTCTGCCTCCAAACAGCAGCTGTTGGAGCAGTTGAACTGACCATCTGCACACTGACCCCCGCACACTGCAAGAGTGCAGCATAAACATAAACAAACAACAAACACACACCCACACACACGCTGCAAGAGTACAACAAACAGCACCTCACATTATTAAACATAAACAGACAACAAGAACACAGAGGGGCTGCTGCTCATTAGCTTAGCAGCAGTTTAGCCCGAGTTTAGCACAGGTTCAGCTTCTTTTTTGTGTTTGGGGGGATGAAGAACACGTTTTCTGAGATTAAATGCAGATCTGCCACAGTTACATACTGAATACATTCTGAAAAAGCCTAATCAGGACTGTAACGATTAACACTGAGCTTCACTTACAATAATTTTGTCTTAAACCTTAGTAAAACCTCGACTTCAGCAGGTTTAAGATAAACCTCTTTTAGAACTGAGATACAGCACCATCTAGTGGCAGATATGTGATTTTTAATTAGGTTTAGTTTAACTGTAGCAATGGAGTAACCCACATGACTCATACAGGTTAAACTGTAAACCACAGCTAAGCTAATTTATTCGCTCCAACATGTCTGTACTGAAAGTGTAGCTACAATAACAGATTTATATCTTATTTATCTTGTTATATCTCAGGCTTATTAATTAAGGATAGAAAACTAGCTGTAGTCTCTGAAACATTTTAGAAAAAATAAATGAATGGTTTACAAAACAAAAACATTTAACAAACATGAAGCTCATCAAAGACATTAACTGACCCTCTCAAAGCATTTTAACCAGATGAAATAAATTACCTTCAGTGAGCAACTTGAGTTTCCTCCTTTCAGCAGTCACTGCAGAGAGACCAGCTAAAAGTTATCATTCACAAAAATCCACTGTTCACTGATCAATAAATCAGTGGGTAGGTCAGCATACCATAACTTCTAAGTTTTATTATGTATTATTAGTCTCAGTCAAATTTTTCTGACAAACATGAGGTTTTTATTACTCGTCCTGTAATAAAATCATGTATAATAATTATTACCCATCACGCTGTGTTGTCAAATTACATAATAATATTGTTTTACCTGTTGTGCCATTACAGGCGTCAGAGCACTCCTGGTAAGAGAGGTAGTTGTTGTTGGTTGCCAAACAGCCTCCAAATTGGAATTCCTCACACCTGTTAGATGCAGCATTGTAATGCCAGCGAGGAAATGACCCTCGACAGGGACCCACCTTCTTTGGAGTCAAACAGTGACCTGGAATAAATCGATTAATGCTGATATCAATACAGTGCAGCACCTTACAGTGCAGAGCATTCAGATTAATATCCGATACAGTAATGCAGTGTCTGAGTTCTTCTGAATGGTAACAAGCAGAATTCCATTCTAATGGAAAAAAACACCCTTGCACAAAACATCCACTTGAACCACAGCTGACTGAACACTGACATCAATGTTTGACCAGACTGACCACAACAGCTCTCATTTAGTTATTCAAACACTGAGCAAAAAAAACATTCACAGGAAAATAATGTTTAACCTACAGGATACAGGAGCTGGATTAGTTTCACCTGCTGAAGTTCTGTCATCTCAGACACCAGAAACAAGATTATTGTTTAATCCAGTAAGGATCTACAGTGTGTATAATTTTACAATCTGATGGTAATAATTGTGGAGCAATTTAAATACAGTATGAATCTGCAGTGTGTATAATTTTACAGTCTGTCGGTAATAATTGTGGAGCGTTTTTAACCAGTATAAATCTGCAGTGTGTGTAGGTTTTACAGTCTGACAGTAATAATTGTGGAGTGATTTAATCCAGTATGAATCTGCACCTGTGGAATTCTGAACCTGTGTTGAGCTTTTTGAGGAATTTTTCTTCTGTTGAATTCAGCATCAAGTATTGAGTAACACAGACACACCCTGTGCACGAGCAGCTCGATCCCTTCAGGCCTTTAACAGTAAACAAAAGCTCAGAAGGAGCCGGTTCACCAAGTGCAGTAAAATAATCAGCCCACAAACACGTCACCCTCACATCAGCTACACTGTGTGCAATACTAATTCACCGAACTCACACTGACAGAACAACACTAACCCACACTGACACACACACACACACACACTGATAGAACAACACTAACTTGCCAAACTCACTCTGACACGCACACACACTGATAGAACACACTACTTGCAAACTCACTCTGACACGCACACACTGATAGAACAACACTAACTTGCCAAACTCACTCTGACACGCACACACACTTAGAGAACAACACTAACTTGCCAAACTCACTCTGACACGCACACACACTTAGAGAACAACACTAACTTGCCAAACTCACTCTGACACGCACACACACTTAGAGAACAACACTAACTCCAAGCAGCAAGATCAGCCAAACTGTCATCGGTTCTGATTTTTCTTGACTCTCTGCAGCTTTTGACACAGGCAACCAGACAATCCTTCAATCTGTCCTCCCCAAGCTTGGAATCACTGGCTCTGGGTAGAAGTGGTTTAAGTCCTATCTAGAGGGGCGCTCTTATCAAGTAACATGGAGAGGGTCCACATCTGCTCCATGTTGGCTCTCCACTGGTGTCTCACAAGGCTCGGTGCTGGGTCCTCTTCTGTTTTCACTCTACACTCATTCTCTTGATGATGTAATATCCTCTCATGGCTTCTCTCACCACTGCTATGCTGATGAAACCAAACTAACGCTTTCCTGATACTCAGGTTTCCAGTCGCATCTCAGCATGTCTGGCTAACATCTCTTAATGGATGGCAGCTCACTACCTGAAGCTCATTCCTAGCAAGACTGAGCTGCTATTCATCCCTGGAACTACAAGTCCTTGTCATGTTCTCACCATCTCATTCAAAAAGAAGTCTGGGTGTGATTCTGGATGACCAGTAATTGTTCTCAGCTCATATTGCAAAAGTGACTCAGTCATGCAGGTTTCTCCTGTACAACATCCGGGGTTGACCCTTTCTCACTCAGGAGGCCACCCAGATGCTTGTTCAGTCTCTTGTCCTTTAAGGCTTGAGTACTCCAACTCGCTCTTGGCTGGTCTTCTTATGCAGCCATCAGGCCTTTAAACTGATCCAGAATGCAGCAGCACGGCTCGTCTTCAGTCTTTCTAAGTTGACTCCACTGCTGCGCTCCCTTCACTGGCTTTCTGTAGCTGCATCAGTCACACTGAGACACACACGCAGACACACTGAGAAACACACACAATCAGGCACACACTCACACTGAGAAACACAAACACACAGACGTGCTGAGACACACACAGACATGCTGAGACACAAACAAGACACGCTGAGACACAAACAGACATGCTGAGGCTGTAGCGAGTTAAACCTGTTCTGCTGTGTCAAAGGGAGGATAAACGCTGCAACACTCAGCAGCTCAGCAGCTCTCACTCTGATCTGTGTTCAGTTAACACTCATGACATTATAACCACCAACTCACTAAACAGAACCAATAATTAATTAATTCACCCAGTGTTTAACACTCCAGTCCAAATAAATCTCACAGAGGTGTTCAGCTGGTCGAGCTTGGATTAGTAAACATCAGTTACAGCGCAGAAGAAGAATCACAGACAGACAAATTCATCTGATGTTTAAACTCTGTCACATTTACACTAAATGGCTTCAGTGAGACCAGAATGAAGACTTACGCTCGGCCTGCTCCGCTGTCAGAACCAGGACAGTAATCGATGTGGAGTCCGACTGACCGGCTGAATCAGTGACCGTAAGCTTGTACTCATAAACTCCAGGCTGCAGGTTGGACAATATCATCTGGTCAGGGAGATCTGTTGTCTGTAGACAAATAACACACAAGAAAAACTGAACAAACTCCATGTTTTGAGAAGACAAAAGAATGGATCACTAACTTAAAAGTTACTTATTTTCAGTGAAGGTGAGGAAAATGTTCCTGATGTTACTGTGACCAACAAGCCTGTCGTCACAACAGTGAAAAGCTATGGGGCTAGTTTAACTCTGCAAACTGTACTGTTTTTGAAGAGGCAACAGAGGGACTCAGATGAATACTCAGACACCGTTATGTCATACATGAGTTTCTGTTGCATTCAACTACGGGTGAAATACAGAAACAACAAACCATGTTTTTCAGCTGAACTTAGACAGCTTTGAAGGGAAAAGGAGCCAACATTCAGCAGTGGAGACATAATTATCTACAAAAAGGCCAAATACAAGCTGGAAAAAGAGATTAAAGCAGCAAAGAAGAAATATTCAGAAAAGCTGAAAAGGCACATCACTGCTAATACCTTCAGCCTGGAGGGGCCACGAAAAAAGATCTCCAGCTACAAGGTGAGATAGACTCCCCTTCTCCGGAACAACCGCCAACTCACCAAGGACCTGAATGAGCTCTACTGCAGATTTGAACACACAAAGGACAATCTTCAGCCTCTCTCTGTCAGTCCCCCACCCTCCTCCTCCTACTGGTGGATTATAAACTTCCCTACCCCCCTCAACAGACGTGGTTCTGTGATTTCCACTGTGGAGTCACTTATGTTCCTGGGTGCCACCATATCCAGGGATCTGAAGTGTGAGAGGAACACGGTCTCCATCACTAAGAGAGCACAGCAGAGAATGTTCTGTTCAGAGAGCTGAAGAAATTAAACCTGCTGTAGAGTCTGATGATCCAGTTCTACACAGTAATTATTGACTCCATCCTCTCATCATTCATAACCATCTGGTCTGATTCCTCCACCTTACAAGAACAAGCCAAACTACAGTGCTCAATTAGGTCAGCAGAGAGGATCATAGGATGTATCTGACGACACGTCAGGACAACAGCGGTTGGTGGGTACTGATTCTTAGATGCATCGTGATGCGGATGTGAATGATTCTGAATTGATTCACAAATGTTGAAAATCGATTTTCTAAATTGAAATTTATAACGTAATGTTGACGGAACGCAAAAGGCGGAACTTGGAAGTGCGGAAGTGCAGCGCCCGGACAGTCTGTGGTGGTACATAACAAAAACACAACTGGATGAGCGAGAAATCTGACTGGCACCATCTGCATTAAAAGCCAGGTTAGGTCAGGAGTCGACAACCTAAATGTTAAAAAGAGCCATTTTGTCCTTTCAACAAAAATCAAACAACCTTGTGAGCAACAACATTTAATGTCCAGTATGTCTCAGTATGTGCTAATGTCCTAGTATAGGCTAAAAATATAAACGAAAACACAGATTTACTTTGCTCTGCTTTAAGCTTTAGCTATAGCCACTTTCCTCCCATCTCCGCCAGGACCTCAAAAGTTGAATAGTTTCTTGTAAAACGTCTCTCAACATTCGACTGCTTTAGGAGGCTGAAGTCAGCTTCTCATTCAAATTTTCCCGTTCCACCTTAAATTTTGAATGAGGCGGTGAATGTAAATGCGGCACCATTTAAGCTGGAACGGAAAAATTCAAAGAGAAGCTGACTTCAGACCAGTTATACCAGTTTGCAATGACCAAACCTTTGGTCTAAAACTAGGACTGCTTAACATAAGATCTCTTTCATCTAAAGCCGTCGTTGTAAATTAAATTATTACCGATCATGATTTTGATGCTCTGTGCCTCACAGAAACGTGGATTAGACCCAATGAATACTTTAGTCTAAATGAAGCCACACCCCCAGGCTACAGTTATGAGCATAGCCCTCGTTTAAGTGGCCGGGGTGGAGGTATAGCAACAATCCATACAAAAGTTTTAGGCCTGAGCCAGAAAATAGGCTGCAAATTCTCTTCGTTTTAAGTTCTTTTTCTTAATATATATGATCGAGGAACAAATAAAGATTCCTTTTCACTAATTACAATTTACAGGCCGCCAGGGCCGTATTCTCAGTTCTTACAGGAATTCTCTGAGTTTCTATCAAGTTTAATAACGTTTTAAAAATGGAATAATTGTCGGAGATATCCACTTTGACAAACCTCAAGATGCACTAAGTAAGGCATTTATATCTATCTTAGACTCTGTAGGTTTCACCCAAAATATAAAGGGGTCCACACACTACCACAACCACACTCTAGACTTAATACTGAACTTTGGTGTAAACATACATAACGTAGCCATTCTCCCCCAGAGCACAGCAGTCTCAGATCATTATTTAATCTCATACGAAATTTGCTTTAGTGGTAATATGCGTTCATCACCATGTTATCACATTAAGTGGACAATAACTTCCTCCACAGCTGGTAGCTTTATTAGAAACCTTCCTCAATTATCAGCTTCTGTCAACTGTCCATCTAATCCTACCGAGTTAGATATTATGACCAAGTTCTTAGAGGATAATTTTCGATCTACACTAGATAGTGTGGCTCCATTAAAAAGTAAAATAGTAAGGCAGGAAAAGCTTGGCCCTTGGTATAATGATCATACTCAGGCTTTAAAACAGACTGTCAGACAACTAGGGCGAAAATGGCGCCTGACTAAACTAGAAGTGTTCCAGTCCGTTTGGAAGGAGAGCCTTATAGACTATAGAAGAGCACTTACTGCAGCACGCTCAACCTATCTCTCTTCTCTCATAGAAAACAATAAAAATAATCCTAGATTATTACTTGGCACAATTTCTACCTCAGATGCCATTAGCCTATAGCAGCAATTATTTTATGAATTTCTTTAGTGATAAAATTGAAAATATTAGGCAGAAAATTCAGAACACAGTTAAACTCTACAAACCTGCTGCCTTATAATGTCAGTCTAAATCTCGAGAATATTAAAATTACTGCAGAGAGGCTGGAATCGTTTACCTTACTTCAACAAAATGAACTAGTTAAAATTGTTTCCCCTGCAAAATCTTCTACTTGTATGTTAGATCCGATTCCTACAGGTTTACTCAAAAAAATTTGCCAGAAATAACCAAAGCCTATTATGTCAATAATAAACTCCTCTCTTAGCCTTGGATACATCCCAAAAACCCTTAAACTAGCAGTAATTAGACCTCTGATTAAGAAAGCTAACCTTGATCCCTGCAAACTATCAAATTATAGACCTATCTTGAATCTCCCCTTTATATCAAAGATTTTGGAAAAAGTTGTAGCAAAACAATTAAGTTCCTATTTGTATAGGAATCATATACATGACAAATTTCAGTCTGGTTTTAGGCCACATCATAGTACAGGAACAGCACTAGTGAAAATTGTAAATGATCTTTTATTATTCTCTGCCCAAGCAAATGTGTCTTTGCTAGTCCTCCTCAGTCTTAGTGCGGCATTTGACATGATAGACCACTCTATATTATTAGATAGACTAGAAAACCTTGTAGGGGTAACAGGAACAGCTCTTTCCTGGTTCAGGTCCTACCTCACTGATCGCTATCAGTTTGTTAATGTAAACGTGTATCATCTGTCCTCGCAAAAGTAAAGTATGGTGTTCCACAAGGCTCTGTTTGAGGACCTATATTATTCACAATATATATGCTACCACTGGGCACCATTATCAGTAAACACAGTATAAATTTCCACTGTTATGCCGATAACATATATATCAAGCAAACCGGGTGTTAAAACTAAACTTGGCAAGACTGAGGACTGTATAAAAGACATAAAAGACTGGATGTCGAGTAACTTTCTCCTTCTTAACTCGGATAAAACAGAGGTTCTGCTTCTTGGTCCAAAAGCAGCAAGAAACAAACTGTTTAATTTTACACTTAAACTTAACAATTTCTCAGTTGCATCAAGCTCATCTGTAAAAAATCTTGGTGTAACGATAGATCCCGATCTGTCCTTCAATGCACATATAACTAATATTACTAGAATAGCCTTCCTGCATCTCCTCAATATTGCTAAATTAAGAAATGCATTGTCTCTACAGGATGCAGAAAAGTTAGTTCATGCATTTATTACTTCAAGGCTAGATTACTGCAATGCCCTGCTGTCTGGATGTTCCAGCAAAAGCCTTAACAAGCTTTAGCTAGTCCAGAAAGCTGCAGCCAGAGTCCTTACTAAAACCAGAAAATTTGACCATATCAGTGCAGTTTTATCAACACTACACTGGTTGCCAGTTAAATTTCGCATTGATTATAAAATTCTCTTACTGACCTATAAAGCTCCAAACGGACTTGCCCCTCAGTACCTGAGTGAACTTCTCTCCTACTATGAACCATCGCTCCTACTTAGATCACAAGGTGCTGGCTTACTATTAGTACCTAGAATTTCTAAAGTTACATCAGGGAGGAGTGCCTTCTCATACAAAGCCCCCCAGCTTTGGAATAATCTTCCTGTTAATGTTCGGGACTCAGACACAGCCTCAGTCTTTAAGTCTAGGCTAAAAACTTACTTGTTTAGTCAAACCTTTGGTAATTAGTGTTCCCTGTCAGATAAAAGGTGCAGATCTAGGGATTCATGCTCAAAGAGTATTAGGGTAAACTGGGAGTGTTGGTGCTGTCGTCCCGCTGCTCTCACGCGTTCACTTGAGTTTGCTGACGGTGGAGCTTAGGGGCGCCGACATCTCAGGGAGCCCTCATGTCTCTGTTACCTTGTAGTTTCTCCCTTTTAGTAAAGGGCTGCAATAACTAGACCTGCCAGAGTCTCTGCTGCTCTGTTAATACTGTAATATGTGATCAGTCACTCATTACAGAACTGACTCTCTGTGTGTTTTCCTTTCTTTGCCGAGTTGAACAGCTGCCCATCCTGTGCGTCTGATGCTGTTGCTTCTTCTGCCTTGATTGAGTGCCACCAGCCTTCTGGACCGGCTTGACCACCATTAAGCTTCATGCTGTACAACACTGTGCAAACCTCACCCTCATGAACTGACCCTCCTGATGATGCATCTGCTGCTACTGCATAAACTAAAACTAATCTAATTAACCATTGCTCCACCTATTTTCCCCGTTTTGTACTATAATACTTTATACTAAAACTGTTTGCTATCTGGTGTCGATCAGAGGAGGATGGGTTCCCCTTCCGAGTCTTGGTTCCTCTCAAGGTTTCTTCCTCTTGCTCTTAGGGAGTTTTTCCTTGCCACTGTCGCCACTGGCTTGCTCATGGGGGCCTGGACCCGGATTTTTCTGTAAAGCTGCTTTGTGACAACACCTGTTGTAAAAAGCGCTATATAAATAAACTTTGCTTGCTTGCTTTGCTACTTCATCTTCGCTACTTTTTAGTGTCTGACAGTCTCTCGTTGCAGATTTAACGTACTAGGAAACCAACTGCAGTGGTTATATATGCGAATAAGTCCATTCATCTCCAAATGTTCGTCTTAAATCTCTCTCTTTGCCTTTTCGTTAGCTACTAGCTAGGTGAGACTGCGTTGCTGTGTGACCTGCAGTCTGCATGCCAGTTCTCAGTCAGTGCGAAAGCTCTGGTTCTCAACATGTTGCACATGTCCGGCCTCGAAGATATTTTAGTGACACAGCGATCCCCACTGTCTACCCGAAGTTATAAAATCACTAAAGAAAACAAGTAGGATGGCTGTAACGTGCTGCATGGACATCCACTGCCACAGGATCTTATTTCACTGTAACAGCGCATTGTATCACAGATGAGTGGCAGCCTGCATCTCACGTGCTTCAAACGAGCAGTGAATGAGAACCTTCCAGTTCACTTGCCACATCACTTCTGTTTGGTTTATTAATAAAAGATACTGGAAGTAAATTCATTATGGACCATTTTAAATACTTCACTTTAAAAGTACCAAGTCCTCACACAGTGAGAAAATATAAATCCTGTATATAAAAAAGGTGCATCAAGATGCATCGATAATCGTTTCATAATCGCAATGCAGCCCTCTGAATCGTAATCTAATTGAATCGTGAACTTCCCACCCCTAATAACAGCAGGGTGATAAAAGACGTGGACAAAATGACAGCGGACTCCTCTCATCCTGGACATCACCTCTTCCAGACACTCCCTTCGGGTGTATTACAGTAACTCCTTTGAAACAGGACAATTATTTACGCTACATTATCAAACCCCCTCGCTGTATTACAGTAACTCCTCTAGAACAGATCGATTATTTATGCTACAGTGACTTATCAAACCCCCTTGCTGTATTACAATAACTCCTCTAGAACATAAACATTAAGTTAAGAATTAGATATGTTTTATTTGGAATCTGAACAATAGGACACTCTGATTCTGTACTTTTCCTACACTTCTCCTGACCACTCTGCAGTTTGCATATCGCTCCAACCGCTATACAAGCCACCACTCTTCATTTGGCTGTTTCTCATCTTGAGAAATACGCTTATGTTATGATGCTGTACATAGACTTCAGTTCAGCATTCATTACTATCATTCCTCAGCATCTGACTGGACAGTGTACTCAGCCCACTGCTCTTCACTTTGCTGACTCATGACTGTGCAGCAGCTCACAGTTCCAACCACATCATAAAGTTTGCTGATGACACTACTGTGCTTGGTCTTATCATCAAGAACGATGAGTCAGCATAGAGAGAGGAGGTGCAGCGACTGACAGACAGTCAACAATTTATATCTGAGTGTGGACAAGACAAAGAAGATGGCTGTTGACTTCAGGAGACCACAGAGTGACCACTCTCTGCTCACCATCAACAACTCCCCTGTAAAGACTGTTGCGAGCACCAAGTTCCTTGGTGATCACCTAGCGGAGAACCTCACCTGGACCCTGAACACCAGCTTCATAGCTAAGAAAGCCCAGCAGCATCTCTATTTCCTGAGGAAGTTAGGGAAAGCTCATCTCCCACCCACCATCCTTACCACCTTCTACAGAGGCACTATAGAGAACATCCTAAGCAGCTGCATTACTGGCTGGTTTGGAAATTGCAGCGCCTCTGACCGCAAGAACCTCCAATGAATAGGACAGCCAAAAAGATCTTCAGGGTCTCTCTTCCCTCCATCACGGATATTTACACCACACGCTGCATCCGAAAAAAGTCATCAGCATTGTCAGTGACCCCACACACCCCTCACACAAACTATCCTCTCTTCTGCCATCTGGAAGAAGGTTGCGCAGCATTCGGGCCCTCACAGCCAGACTGTGCAACAGTTTCTTTCCACAAGCCATCAGATTCCTCAACTCCCATGGACTAAACTGACGGACACCCACACAGACACACACACATTTATACATAACAATTTGAGACCATCTGACTCTCCACTTTCTGCAGTTCCAGATTATGTGTGAGACACTGTATTTAAATATAATTATTGCATTTCACACTGAAATACTTAATATAATTCATATCTGTCTACTTGTATTTTTGCACATTATATCTCTTTCAGATCTTTCACATCTTATTTAAAGAACCAATAGAACACAAGATGTGGTGAGTTATTGTGAACAGGATCATCATCACAGCTGTGATTTTATTCATCATAAATTCACCATCTCAAATTTCTTAGTTTTTTTTTAGTTCTACAAAAAAAGAGCAAAAAATAGGAAATCCTTGAACATTGTTGCAAATTTACTGTTTTAAATATTAGATAATTCTTCCACCAAAAAAGTAGTTCCAGCAGCTTTGAGCAAGGTGATCATTGATTAACTGGCAGGAGGACCACACCTGAAGGTCCTTCTCCTTACAATAAACTCCAATAAATATCCATCGCTACCTTCCATTTTCTGTAAATGTACATGTAGCCCATCTATCAGCTCCTTCTAAGTCATTCATTAATGGAAAGACACCACCATAGGACCACCACTGACCACAGCAGTGTACACAGATTGTTTTGGCTCAGATAAAAAAAAAAAAGTTCTCCAATAGATGGTTGTTTACACACAATCATTTTCACTGTTTATTAACACCAAACTGAAATCAATTCACACTGTGCATTACTGTCCATAATTCTGCAAACTCCAGCAGAGTTTCTTCTGAAATTAAGGATGTTTATGGAGTGTTTGTGCTGCAGTACACTAGATGTTGAACATTGCTGTGAGGATTTGATTGAGCATTAGTGAGGTCAGGTACTGATATTGGATGGTCAGTTCTGGATCACTCCAACTCATCCCAAAGGTATTGGATGGAGCTCCATCACTCCAGAGAACACAGTTCCACTGCTCCACAGCCCAATGCTGGGGGGCTTTATACCCCTCTAGCCCACACTTGGCATTGGGCATGGAGACCGTAGGCTCAGTAATGGGCTGGAGGTTATGGAACCAGCCCTGTGACCGGAAGGTCGCCGGTTTGAACCATGAGCCGACAGTACGTGACTGAAGTGCCCTTGAGCAAGGCACCAAACCCCCAACTCTATGTGGTGTTTCACTGCATGGATGGGTTAAATGTGGAGGTGAAATTGCCCCATTGTGGGACTAATAAGGGGCACTTAATCTTAATCTCATGTGTAGCTGCTCCAGAGCATCCATTCTATTGGTCAGTGCTTTTCAAGACTTAAAATAGCTGCTTTTACTCATTAAAATGACTGTCTGGACGCTTTAGGACAGATAGTGGTTCTGTGGTCTGGATTTTAATGACTTATTTCCCTTTTTTCCATTACTGAAGACCCTAAAGAGGTTCAATTTATAACATTAACACATGAGTTAAGCTGAAACATGGTACCTCACTCTTTACAAAGTGGTTTCCTCTCAGAAGTTTCCACTCGTAGCTGATTATCTTTTTGTCATCCCAGCTCTCGATGCCATTCAGGGTCACTCGCTCACCAGACTGGACCACCAAATCTGGCCCTGCATTGGCTATAGGAGGTCTGTCTTCCTCATCTGGAAGGAAGTATCGGGGTGCTCAGAAAGAAAATACTTTTATGTACAATAACAAAAATGGCAATAAACTTGCATACAGAAAACAAGACCAATGTGCTCATACTTTACTGCACAACCTCTCATCTTTTTTTAATTTACATCCTACAAATTATCGGTTGGATGGATTTAACTTCACTTTTAGATGAAACCGAATCCTAACCCTAAAAATCTAAGAATTTAAGCATTTGTAAATGGTAGAACAGGGCCAGTCAGCAGTGTCCTCATAAAATGTCACATAAAAATGACTGACTAACGTTAATCAATTTTATCAAGAACTCTGAATACTACAGTCTGTTCAACAATAACAAGTCTCCTTGAGAAATATCATATAAATAAGTAAAGTGAATTTATGTATTAGAGAAATATAACTTTTTGTTCATAGAAGAAGCAATAAGCTATTGTTTGATGAATGACTTGAAAGTCAGTGATAAATAACGCTTTAGTGAGTTGTGTCCTGACGTGGGTGGGGTTGGTTGGCACATGTGTCAACTTGCCCAAGTGGCCTGTTGTCAGAAACACGTATCATGTTATATCATGTTATTATATATTATATTACATTATATGATGCACACAACAGCTGGAATGCAGTGCTGAACTACATCACTGTTTATAATCAATTTACATCAAATCTGTAACAGGTTATTTTAACCTCTAAGCTTTAGGCGACTTGATGAGTTTCTCAATCTCAATACTCATTAAACAATACAATATAAAATTTTATATAATAAATTTCACTTGGAAATGTATAAAACTCTTTATAATGAATTGTGTTACTCTAATATTGGGTGGAATGGAAGTGAAAAGAGTAAACTGGCCCAGTTTTATTTCTCTTATTATTGTTCTTTAATTGTAAAAAAATAACCAAACATAATATTTAATGAACTGAGGAATGTTATTTGGTTGACACTGAAAGTTTTTGTTCTGTTCATTTCTAATTATTTCTATTTGCTGCTTCGTTTTTTTAATCTAAAGCCTTTTAAACACTGTGTAAATTCTCACGCTGGGGTAGTTTAACACCAGAGCACAGCAGGACTTTAGTCATGAATGCACTAATGCCAGAAAATATCTTATGACTTTGATATGTTTTGTTTCATTAGAATTTTTAATGTACAGTATTTATATTATAACGCACAGTGTGACTGAGATGTACAGCAGCGTAAAAACTGAACTCTCCCCTAACAGACCACAGTGTGACCATTAGAACTGACCCCACTGAGTCACAACGCCTCCATATCAGAGCAGTGACTCATGACTGTGTTCTAGTTCCAGATTAAACGGAACCGAACACAGAACTCAGAGAGCCGCGGTTCTGACGCTCCAGTTAAGTCTGCGAAGTTCGGCCTATAACTGCTGCACCGTTTAAGGCGGGACAGAAAATTCCGAAGCTAAAGAGTAAAACCTTAAGCCTGGTTACTCACCTGAAGCTCGAGCCGGTCCTCCCAGGTAGCGTCCATAAACAGAGTGCCTGATGTAAGGGGTGAATCCGGGCTTCTTGACGAAGCGACAGACGAACTTATTCCTGTAAACACAGTCGAACAGAAAGCAACTCGTGATCGAGTTCTCATCGCCCTCCACCAGCGCCAGATTACAGCGCGCGTTTCCGCCGCACGCGCGCTCGCACTCCCGGGCAGTCTGAACGGCGGGGTTGGAGATGTAAGTGGCTCCTTCCTTTACAGAGTCTTCAGTGATTAGAATGAAGTCCTCGCGATCTTTTTGGAACTGATCCGAGTGGCTCTGTTCTGGTGTTTTAGCTCCAGCGATCAGCAACAAAGACAAACACCAACACAAACACAAAGCAGCGAATGAAGCCATTTTACACTAACTCAGTCCTCGCGCACTGAGCGGCGATCAGGAATAATGTAGCGCAGAGGAGGCGCTCGAGCTCCGCATCAGGTCCTGTTTCTTCGCTTTTTTCTTCTCAGGTTCAGTAAAAACACTCATTTCAGTGCCATAGTCACTGCCTCTCTCTCTCTCTCTCTCTTCTCTCTCTCTCTCTCTCTCTCTCTCTCAGACTCACCTGTAGGCTGACCCCCTGCTGGCCGCTCAGATGAGTTTGTGGCCTCCACCCAGAACAAAAAACACCGGAAGTGTCTGAGTTGAAACGCTGTGACGTGTTTGTAAAAATAAGCCAAAACCTTTTCTTTTTTTTTGTCTTTTTCTGTAAGTTTGATCATTTCACTATGAAAGAAATCCCTGTAACCCTGCTGGAAAACCCATATGAACCATTAGGAGTTGCTGTTGGTTCCTGATGGTGTTGTAATGTGATTAGTCTTTTTTTATGGATTGGTATCACAGTGTAAGGGATCCTAATGTTTTAACAGGTGACCAGTGGCTGTTTCTAAATGCACTTGATGGTTACCTAATGGGATCTAAAGGTATTCTACAGGAAACTAGTGGTCTCTATAGGAAATCATTAAGCCAATTCCCATTAGAAAGAAAAAACATCAGATTTTAAATCTACAGGTTACTAAATGTTCTTTTCAGCAGGGAATAAAGCTCTTGAATATGCTGTTGTTATTTTGTCTTATATGCAAAACAATTTACTCACATAAAATTAAATTCCAAAGTTTCAATTTCAAATCAGACTCATTCCAGAAATGTCATTGTTTAAATTAAGTCTATTATAGTATATTTATTGTAGTATGTTATAGTATGTTTTGATGCTGTTGTTAATATTTTATTTATGTAACGTTTGAGGCATGGAGGCAGGATGCAAATGCGAGTTTTTATTGAAATGAGAGTCCATAACAAAAACAAAACCAAACTACAAGCGCAACAAGCAAACAAGAGACAAGATTACATTCACAGAGTAACATCCACAATGCAAGACAAAGACTGAACAAACACAGGGGTATAAATACACAGAGGGGAAATAAGATACACCTGGGACTAATGAGGGGCGGAGCTACAGGCAGGTGGAACATATAACAAGGGGGCAGGACCAGGGAGGAGACACAGAACAACAACAAAAAGCAAATGTCACAAGAAAACAAAAAAACACATGGCTACCATAGAGGGGGCGAAAGATGCACTGAGAGGGACAAAGGGAGAATCCGTGACAATTTACTTATTTTTTGATGCTATTTGTTGATATTTTGTTTGTTAGTTTATTTACTGTAGTGATTATTGCATCTTAAAAAAGCAAATAAAAAACAAAACAACAAAATAAAACAACAGCTGGTTGCTGGTCAATTTTCGCTGGTCAAATTTGTATACATAAATTGCAAAATCTGAATTCATTGGCATGTATTCTCATAGTTATTATTTATATTTTTATCATATTGAATTTGTTTACATGATGTAGGCCTTAATTATGAAAATATAGCTTTATGATTTTAGATTTTAATCATGTTTATTTTCCCCTTTGTGCACAAAATAGAGTTTATTTAGGGTAGAAATCGTAAATAATATTTATACACACATTTTCTAAGCTGCTTATCCTTCTAGGTCACAGGGGTGCTGGAGCTCATACCAGCAGTCAGGGGGCAGAAGGCAGGAAACACCCTAGCCAGGTCACACAGGGTAGACAGGCAGACATATACATTCACACAAACACACACACCGAGGGGCAATTTAGCATGTCCAGTTGGCCTAACTGCATGTCTTTGGACTGTGGGAGGAAACCCACACAGACACGGGGAGAACATGCAAACTCCACGCAGAAAGGACCCTGGTCACCCAGCCAGGGAACCAAACCCAGGCCCTTCTTGCTATGATAATATTTATTAATAATATTTGTAATTTAAATTTAACATTTGTGTATGCAATATGTGTATTGAATTGGGTTTTTAGTAAAGATAATAATTTGTTTTTGTATGGCCATTATACTCACTTTTACAATCCATATCAGTGGGCAAGTAACAGGTCAGGTGATCTGCTTAAAAGCCGTTATAACAAAAATAATTGGTGCTGGCAAAAGGTGACACATTAAGCTTAAACTCGCTTGCACAGTGTACATGTGACTAAACCTGCTAAAAACTAGGTGCTGGTCTGTGTAGCACTGCGGCTAAACATGCTGCATTCAGGCTGGAGAGGAAAACATCATTCTGTGGAAAGACATTAGCTAGCTGACATGAAATTGAATTGAATTGAATTAAATTACAAAAATCTTTGGGTTTCAAGGTGGTCATTGGGGAAAGTGTAATAGAAAAGAATTCAGTTAATTATCTAGGCTGCCTGCTGGATAGTTACATGTCAGGAGAGGTTTGGATAAGGTTTTGACTCAAGTGAATCAAAAGATTCGTTTCTCCCCAGAGAGTTCTTGGATAGCTAAGCCTTGGCGAGAGTTTGGGTTCAGTATTGTTTTGATTATGTTTGTTATTCATGGTATGATATGATTACACTAAAAAAAGACTTCAAACTTCTTAAAACCAATTATTGAGGGTTCTTTTAAACCTTCCTATGAGAACCCACCTGGAACCGTCTCAGTATGAAATGCTTGGATGGTTAAAAGTTCAGGATTGATTGAGTTGTGTGGAGCTGCACCTCAGAATCTTAAAATTCTTTCACTAAGCTGAAAATGTTCACACTCCACCAGAAGAAAGTCTACAGACTTAGTTCCTCTTTGTTTTAAAAGTAAAGTGAATCGGTATACTTTCATATTTCTGCATTTAAATAACGTACGGCAATACTTTGCTCCTTTTTCTTTGCTCATTTTGCTCTTTACTTTATGTTGCTGTAATAGACAACTTTCCCTTTGGGATTAATAAAGTGATCCATCTATCTAACACTAACTAGATACAGCCCTGTCCAGGCAACAGTGTCCTGTGAGCAGCATCCCTTGACCAGTGCTGTGCTGAGTATGATCCACCACCCAGTGAATACCTGCCGTATGTTGGTCCTGACCACTGAAGAACGGAGTGAAAGGGGACTAACAAATTGTGCAGAGAAACATATAAATTACAGTCTGTAAATGTACAACTACAAAGTGCACCTGTATGATAAACATACTTGACAAAAATGGACTATGATTGTAGATACAAGGTAGGTGTACTTCAAGAGCATCTCCTTGCACAGCAACTTTGGCCAGAGCATCTCTACGGCCACAAAACGGACAGGTGTTAAGTCCTGTCTTTGAGGAGTTATGACAGTGAAGTAGTGTTTTATTGTGTGTGAGATATAAACAAGATAGCTGATCATCATCCTCTCTCCGTCTCTGTTACAAGTACTTGGGCAGACCACAGCCTGCCTTACTTGACTTTTGTCCTTTAGTTGCCTTTTTCACACTGTCTCTTGAATGTTGTGTCATTAATGCCCCTCCATTGTTCTCTGGAAGGTAGATCAATCACATTATTAATCCCAGAGTATAAAGCAGTTCATACTTTGGGACTAAGCAGAAGACTTAAGGCAGAACATAGGAAGTCTGCATGTATGCGGTTATATATATATATATATATATATATATATATATATATATATATATACTACTGAAGTACTTTAGAAGACCTGTATTGGCTACAGACTTCAGTCATTGTATACAAATCTATGAGAAGCCTTGGTCTGGTCTCATGTCAGAAACTAAGAAATGTGGGTCTTGGTCAGGGCTTGTACTGCAAACTAACTAACATTAGAAGTTGCAATCAAGTTTTGAACCTAACCTATACTTTGAAATATAAATAAATTTGATTCGCAATGAAGAATTTAAAAAGAATCAGCATCTTTTGAATCAGAATAGAGTGGTGAGAGTCTTTAAATGGCCAATACTGGAAGTTAGCTGCACGTGGCTCTATGGAGCTGGGGACCCTTAAGCTTGACTGATGTATGAAGCTAAGCAAGGTTGGTTTGGATCAGTAATTGGATGGGAGACCATATTACCTTGGCAGGAGTTCAAAGCTTTTCAGCCAAAACTTTTATTTTGAAACTAAGCAGAAGACTTAATGCAGATCACAGGAAGTCTGCATGTACTCCAGTATATATTTCCCTGAAGTACTTTAGAAGACCTGTTTTGGCTACCAGTGTATACAAATCTATGAGAACTCTTGGTCAGGTCTCATGTCAGAACTAATTAAGAATTTTAAAAAGTCAGCATTGATTCTTAATAAAGTGGTGAGATTCTTTAAATGGCCAGTACTGGAAGCCTGCCACAACTGGTGGCTCTATGGGGCTGGGAACCCTTAAGCTTGACTTGACTGATCTATGAAGCTAAGCAAGGCCAAAGTTTTTCCACCAAAACATTTATTTTGAAACTAAACTTTGGATACAGTGAAAAGTATTTTATAGTGTTGGACTAAGCAGAAGTCTGCATGTACTCTGTTATATGTTCTACTGAAGTGCTTTAGAAGACCTGCTTCAGTCATTGTATACAAATCTATGAAAAGCCTTGGTCTGGTCTCATGTCAAAACTAAGAAATGTGGATCTTGGTCAGGGCTTGTATTGAAAACTAACTGACATTAGAAATTGTAATCAGGTTTTGAACCTAACCTTTACTTTGAAATAAAAATACATTTGACTCACAATTAAGATAAAAAAAAAAAACAGCCTCTATGGAGTCATAATAAAGTGGTGAGATTCTTTAAACGGCCAATACTGGAAGCCAACCACAGCCAGAGGTTCTATGGGGCTGGGAATCCTTAAGTTTAACTGATGTATGAAGCTAAGCAGGGCCAGTCCTGGTCAGATGTGGGTGCAGTGAAGGAGTTTTGGAGAGAGTCTGTAATAAAACTGACACGAAGTTCATGTAAACACAGTCCCCAAACTCAGTTTTTTCAAACAGGCTCTCTCAGACATGTGACTTCACATCAATATATTTTTTTTCCTTCTACATTCTGTATCAGGTTGATTAATCATAACAATAAAATTGTAAATAATTCACTTTTGCACCTTTAATAATTGTTCCTTATTTCAGAATCTGAAAATCAATCCAAAACCTAATCTTAACCATAATTTTGGACCTTTATTTAACCAATTTTCTAATCCTAAACCTAGCTCTGCCCTTTAGTTTAATGCTTGTCCTTTTCCTAACCCTACCCCTGGTCCTAAATTTAAAACTTGTCCCAGCACTAACCACAAATTTCTACTTAAAATCTATCCAAAACTGAATCCTAATCCTTATTTTGGACCTACATTTAA